CAGCCAGGCATTGGCATGACCAGATGGATCTTTTAAACAAAAAAGGATCCAGGAATAAGCAAAGCATAAAAACACTACAGGCTAAACTTCCGGACTGCCAGACTGGGGGACAAGTGTAGAAACACAACCATCAAAATAGAACGAGGAAAAGCAACAACCTTCATAAGGTGAGATCTCGGCAAGGCGATCAAAAAGCAAGATCAACAAGTCCGAGATAGAACCTTGACTAGAAAGGCTGAGGGAGAAGATGTTAGAATAGAACCCGATGACCCGACAAAGATAATCGACAATCGATTATAAGCTCGAATCATGCCATACAAGGAAAGGGTCATTCTACTCAAGGAAAACATTGAGTCACTTGGTACGAACTCTGATATGGCAGAAGCACTAGACAAATGGATCGCCCCAACCATTTAGGCTAGATGGATCCTCACAAAGTATCTATACATGGCTGCAGTCCACTAGAGGAAGCATGATCCCAGCATCACGAACACATAACACCTACGACTAAAGTCATAAAGAAGGACAAAAAATTTCAACCCAACACGACCTCAGCAACCTAATTCAGGGAAGCTGACCAAGTTATAAAAGCTAAAAAGCATAAAGGACAAAGAACAAAAGCAGCAGAACACGAAAACACAAGGATTAGATCTCGGGAAAGGCGATATAAAGAAAGATCATCCAATTCAAGTTGGACCTCGACCAAAAAGGTTAAGGGAGGAATACCGGAGCAGCATATTCCATACCCTACTTATGAAACCTGGATCCAAAATTCAAAGGCCGAGGTAAAATTTGGATCATAAAGCACAAAATAAAAGTCCCTCAATGTGAACCAGGAAGTACCCGAAGTGCAGAAACCGGAGCACGTCTCAACAAAATTACATGGATTCTAACTAAAACGTCATAACTCGGAAAGGTCGTGATAAGACCCCGACAAGGAGGTCAAGCCCCTCCACTTCTAATAGGTACCTTGATCAGAAAAGTTCGAATTGGAGATTGCCTGCATGAGAAGCCAACACAACAGAATTGATAGACGAGTCTAGACTCACTTAGTGAGTCCTATTAAAGCAGCAGACACGAATCAAGACATGACGAAAAGTGAAGCTGACAAGTTTGATCTTGAACATAGTCAGAGACAATAACCACAACCACCAACCCACTTAAGTTGGCCAAGAAAGTTCTCAACACAGAGGAAAATTGTCAAAAAAAGAAGACAAGTCCTTCATCACGATCACGATCACGACAACTACTACATCCTGGTAGCCCGGTCACCCAGACTACCGAGCTGGGAGGCAACTGCTATGAACCTAACATAAAGGCCCACATTCTAGAAGGCCCGAAAAGGACATAACTCGCAAAACGATATGAATTTTTATAAGGTATATTTTACCAACATGAATTTAAATATAAATAAACCCAAACACAAATTTTCAACTTGTATCGTTTCAAGAATATCAACCCCTAGTTGCATATGGGCATGCGATGTGCAATTGTGATGTAATGCACTTACCGCTGTTGCCTCTGTAACTAATATGTTTCGGCTACGTGCACTATCTCATGCAGTTTCTAATTAAGCTTAACTTCAGACTTAATTATATAAATGAGTCAATTTCAAGCTTTATTACCTTGATACTAAAGGCTAATGGGGTGTGAGATCTATATATCATGACAAAAAATTGTTAATTTTAAATAAAAAATGTTATAAATAATAATAGTTTATATATTTCAATTACTTATTAAATTGTAATTCTATCGAGATAATTATAATTATATAACTTTCATGTTGAAAGAATTTTTATATTCCATTTCTCTTGCTATTTTTATTTTATTTTCTAACATGAAAATGTCTATTAAATACTAAATTAATAAAAGTAAAAACATTTTAAGAAGAGATTACTAAAGAAAAAGAAAATAATTAAATTATAAATAACTTCAATAACGTAAACTCAAACTTTAAATTTGACTCCTTTAAATAAAGGAAATTATTCTCTTATGTAATAGGAGAGAGTTATCTTATGTTACAGATATATCGACAAATATGCTTTTTATTTATTTATTTTTTAACACATGGTGAGACCTATCATGTACTGGGTCTATGACATGAGAGGAGTATATCCTACAACATGAGATTAGATGTTACCTTAAATAAAGGAGTCAATATGAAACATTTTATTTTTCGTTGCAATGGTTCACGCTCCTTACAGTAATTGCTAGGAATAGAATAGCGGCTCAGTCATTACTTTCTTAGCAGGGTCAAGCCCATCTCAATGAAAGAGAGAAAGAGCACCTTTAGAGGTTGGGCGAGGAACATCATTGGGCAAACCTTGAACATTGTTTTTTTTTTTTTCACAATTGCTTGCAATCCTAACAGTAGTTGCTAGGAATATGACAAATATAGAGAACGGGGCTGAATCACTATGATCCTTTTAGTAGGAGCAAAGCCCATCTGAGAGAAAGAGCCTTCGGAGGTTGGGCTAATAACAACCAGAGCCTCCACTATCAATTAAAGAGTTAAAGAGAATCTTTGGTATCGTTCAAAAAAAAAAAAACTTTGGAGGTTGGGCCAGAAACAACATTTGGCCCAAGGTCCATACTGAACCTATCTTTTACATGTTGTCCTTTTACTCACTGTCAACCATTGCTCCATGTGACAAGAAGCTTGTTCTTTTAAATCAAAAGTTGAGTTCAAATTTCGTGAATGAAAAAAATAATGTTGGAAGAGCCGACCCAATATGGTAATTGTTAGCTGGAAATTGTGTCTACTTTAATGGTTTGATTTCTGTATTATTTAGGCTGAAATGAGTTTAAAAGTGCAGGATTTTGGGCCAAGGAATACCAATGCAGCTCAGTAATGTAAAAAGAAAAAAAATGGTAAATGGATAATTGACTTACCTCAGTCACTATTTTGTTGCAGTGAAAAAGCCACATGGATGACTTTTTGGAAGTGGGAACAAAGCTGAACCGTAGATGAAAGAAGATCTGATGGATGACAATTACTCTTGGATTTAGTTTTAGCTTTTTTTTTAGTTAGGAATGTTAAATAGAATCTTGGGGTCTCGTAATCATCAGAAAACAACTTTACAGTTTTAGGCTCAGATTGATTTCTGTCTTTCGAAACAGTTTTTAAGTTTTAAAAACAACAAAACAAAAAAAGTTGTTTGGAAAAAGTGTTTCTCCAAATTTGTTTTCAAAACAGCATCTGATTTTTTGTTTTAAAAACCGAAAAAGGAAAACAACTAATAGATGTTTTCAAAAGTTCTTCTTTTGTTTTTTTTGTGTGGTGGCATTCCTGTAATTATAGGGTTTTATTAATGGCATTTTTGTAATTAAATCAATTTTTATTTTTATTTTAAATTATTTTGCGGTAGCAATCTTGTAAATACGAGGATTCATTAATGATATTTATATAAATAACTATAACTTCAAAACTAACTATATTCAAACAAGTTTTATTGTTTTTTTACTCTAAAATTAGTTTTCAAAATTTATCCTCAAAATAGTTTTTAAAAACAAAAAAACAAAAACACATTCAAAACACACCCTAATCTTTTTCGTTTTGAGTTTTTCATTGAAGAGCAAGAATAGGTGAACTTCTTGGAAGCATTCAAGAAGACCAATGACTCAAGTGTATCTATGAGCTTTTTATCCTCTTTTGCAAGCATATTTCAGTTCTGTATCTTTTCATTTCGACGCTTATGGTCTGTGTTCTAAAACTCTTACTTTAGAAATTGTTTAATGGATGTTAATTTCCATTCAAGATTCTATTTTCGTTTCACTGTAGCTGTGGATTTCTAAGTTTCTTGCTGGGAATCTAAAGGATTGGAGAGTACCTTTATTTTACAATACTACTATGCATGATTTTTACAATTTGATTAACAAGATTTTTAGTTTCAAGAAACCATGGAAAATGAGCTTGAACATTTTTTTTTCATGATTTTGTAATTGGGAAATTAGAGGATCTTGATATTTTGTTAATTAAACCCTTTAATGGTTTTGGATAACCTGAGGGTGAAATTCATCTTTAGACATTAAAAACCTGATTTAAACACCTTGGGAAAGGATTTAATTGGATTTGGACAACCGGAATTGGGAAATTCCAAATAATGCTTCAGACATTGAATTTTTGTAACAAAAGTGCTACAACAAGTAAAAACACAGGGATGTAATTTGTTAAGGGAAATCCTTGACTTTAGATACCCAAAACCTAATTACTGTTGCTTACTTGATTCTAATTGCAATTTTAGTTGATTGAACTTTTAGTTTAAAATCTGATTTCCTGTTAATTCAAGAAGATACGGATAGAGAAAAAAAGAAGTTAAAGACACTATTCCTAGAGAACAATCACAATCAATTTTAGATTCCTATACTACGAAAGTGTTTGTTAGCACTGGACTACGGCAATTAAAATTAGTATCTATAACAGTAACAAATATGCTACACCCAAATAACCAGCCTAAATGATTTTTTTTTAAAATTATAATTGACTATGCTTCTTCCAAAACTATAGGACTCCTTTATTGTCTTTTTTATTTTTTGAAATATTTCATCGGTCGCAACTAGTTCGATTCGAGGCAGGTCTAAGATTAAAGCCTTAAACTCCTTCCAAAAGTGATACTAAGGAGAATCGAACACGTGCTCTCACTCCAACCTGCTCAGCTCTCATGTGTCAACTTAGCTATTACAATTTGGTATTGTCTTTTTAATTATTTTCTTCTTCTTTGCTTCAATATCACACATACAAGAATGTGGCCATTATAGTTGCCTATAAGGTTATAAAATCAATCAATCTGAAATGTAACTGAATATAGCCATTAATTTACACACTCTTCCTTCAAAATTTCTTCTTTTGTTACAACGTAGGAGCTGTTGCTGGCTTAATATATGCATCGAGATATTTTAGAGTAACTTGATCACAAACCATTATTGCATTAACACAAATACATAAGAAAACCTTTTTGAAAAAGAAGGAAAGAAAAGCCTCGAATTAGGCTTCAACTTAATTAGTATCTGAGATTGTTGATGAAATACAAAGCATTGCTAGTCTTCCTTGCCACATTCAAAACAATCTTTCTGATTTTGTCCCTCACATTGGCATCCACATTCATCTCATCAAACCCATCTGAGCAAGTTTCATCATTGGTGATAGAAGCACTCACCCATGTCTTCATGTTGCTAATCTGAAACTCTTTATCAATAACATTATTCAAATGTCCCATTTCATGAAGAGAGTCCTGAAGTTGTCCTATAGAGTCCTTCACATTGCCAAAGCAATCTTTTACAACTTGTTCTGCATAGTGTGTCAAATTATTGCTCTTCAAAAGCTTTGATATGGTGGAGGATGCACTATGAGCACCCTTTAAGGCCAGTGTGAGAGAGATATTACAGAGCTTCAGAGGATTTGCTCCAATTTTAGAAGCATAAGGGGATAAAGATTGGTAGCATATTGATGGATATGTTGTTGACTTGCATGAGGTTGTAACGTAGGTTCTGAAAGTTTGGGAGGGATTGGAAGGAATGATATTGGTGTTCTCATAATATTTGGTTCTTATGGAATTGGAGGGAATGGCATTGTTTTTTTCAATGTTGGTTTGAGTGGAATTGGTAGGGATGGTAGAATTTTGGGATGCTGAAGTGATGCTAGATATAGCTATAAGGATGAAGATAACAATTGTGAGAAACTTGTTGGAAGCTAGCCTCACAAAAGTGTTGCCTTCCATGTCTTGATCTTGGCACTATTTTTTCTCTTTTCTTCTTCTATGTGTTAATGTCTTATAAATGAGTTTGATTTCATGATTTATAGGCGTATTCAGTGAATATTTTAAGCCCTGTTCCTCCTCCATCATGGAGAGAGTAAAACTGCAACTAAAGAAAAAGAGGAAGCTATGAATTGTCCTTTAGTTAATTTTTAAAGGAAACCCTTATTTTTCATGTACAAAGATACAAGACTCGTTGCTTTTGTTCGCATAAATTATTGTAAAAGTGACAACAAATTGGATATCACTGAAGAAAATAGGTGTAAAAATATTCTTAGTTAAGAGATTAAAAGTGATGATTGAGGAATTACATTATTGAGGGGACTAAATTAAAAGTGATGATACTTTACATGACAATTTCTTTCGAAAACAAAAATGATGTTGTTTCTGGAAGGATAAAAATAAGGGTTTACTCAAAATTCTATGCAAATATTAAATACTAAATAATGTATGTCAAAGGAATGTTATCGTCGCTAAAACTGATTTTAAGTTAGTTCAGGAGCCAATGTTCCAATTTCCATGGAACACAAAATCGCAAATATTTTATATTAAAATTGCCGAACTCATAAAGAGCAATATGTGACACTCTGCTTCCTTCATATATAGTAATGTTACCTAATTTCAACACAATTTATTTACATATATGGGTAGTTATTGGATTAAATAAAGGAATAATTATTTCCATATTACTAATCTGTTGCCGAAAAATAAAGGAACAATTTATTTACATATAATAATTATAATTAAGTATTAAAATCTGTTGCCGAAAAATTAGTAAACTATAATATATTACTAATCTGTTAGGTAATCATATATATTTCCTTATCTAATAATCACTTATTAATTAACTTGTATAAGAATAATGTAAAAATTTTAGAATAGAAAAAACATTTCGATTAAGAAAATGTGCTACATAATCAATAGGTTTGATGCATTGTGCAGAAGGGTTATATGTTTTGCCGGCGTTTGAGTGAGACAGATGTATAAGCTTCCAATATTTACATGACACGTATTAAACTCCGAGTATCAGAAGTCTATAGCTCAATGAACGTGCATGCATTTCACATTCACATCCGTGAAACGCTGCAGGAAGAAAGGAAAGGCTTAAGGTTTTTGAACACAAGTTTAATTATAATAATAATGATAGCAACACCGTAGCTATTGAGGGTGACGATGTGCAGCTTATATATGAAGACTCATTTAATTTGTACCCTGCGACTTCTATTTCAACTCCACTTAATTCCATTGCATAACACGAAAAATTCAATCTTAAATGATGATTACATAATTAGTATATAAGATAGGTTCTTGTGGAGGATAATTTTATCTTTTACACACGTATGAAAACATATGAGACCAATATTGGGTCATGTAAGGAGAAGAGAGAGAAAAAAAAATATTAGTCTCATATATTTTTATGTATATATAGAGATAATTGTGTTTCATACAACATTAGAGACATTAAACTCATATAATACTAAATATAAAAAAGTTTGACCTTGTCTTAAAAATATAACAAAATAAAATTCAACGCACGTATAACCTAATAATAACTACACAAGAAGTACGAGTCAAATAGCTTTTTTTATATCAATAATTCAAGTCTTGGTGATCAGCCTATAATTATGTATTGATTCAATAAAAAAAATTACCCGTCTACGATATAGCCTAGTTTAGCTTTGTAGGTAATGTTCTAATTAATTTTTTTTCATAGAAATGTTCTAATTAATTTACTATGAGAAAAGAGTGTGTCGATTTAAATGACACAAATATAGTTCTTTTTAAGAGAGAGATAGAGATAAAAAGGTGATATTACTTTTATTTTTTTATCTTTATTTTTTAAGTGGGATTCACATTTCTTTATGTCTCTCTCTCTCTTAAAAGGACATAAGTTTGTATCTTTTAAAAAGACACACACTTTTTTCATTTACTATTGTTACGGGTTTGTTATTTTATTATTATTTTTAAAGAAAAAGGTGTGTCATTTTAAATGACACACCTTATATCCTTTAACTCTCACAAGAGGTGGGACCCACATCTTTAAAAAATGCCTCCCACTCTCTTCCATGATTTATCTTTTTCTCTCACTTAAAATGACACAATTTTATATCCTTTAAAATGATACACACTTTTTCCTTATTTTTATTATCTGAATTGTTGGTTTATTTTAGTTATTGGATATATTCTATTACTAGGTACTTACTCAATAAGTGCTAGTAGTGGGTAATTTATTTTAGTTCAATATGTTTAGTTGTTGTAGTGGGTAGTTATTATTTTCAAATTGTATTTTGTCTATTTAAACTCTCATCATATGGAATAAAGAATTCATCAAATGAATTATTTGGAAAAATACTGTGTGCAAGATGTCAATCTTCCTCAACAAAGCTATCCTTCTATGTATGTAACAACTTAGTATCAAAGGCAGGCTCCAGACATGAAAAAACGATTGAAACGACTAGAAGACACAATTCAGGCACTCTCCATTAATTGAAAAAGATGTTCATCAAACTCTCCAATGAGCTAGATGCTCTAGTACCAACCACCAAACCACAACCCCACATACATTGTCATTATTCTCATTTAATTCATGAGGCATCCATATCCAAATATTTCTTTCTTTCTCTTTCCACCAATAGAGCAACCCCCCTTAAACATGTCGTTGTTATCAAAAATTTGTACGCAGTCAAAGTGTCTCAATCAAAAAGGCCCCTCGACCATGACCCCAATTTTTTTGTTTAAATATGAGATATCCAATGAGAGCTTCACTTCTAAAATTATTTGAGAAGAGGAAAGAAAGGGCCATGGTCAGGGGACATTTTTCAATCAACAACAAGGGAGAGGCAGACATTGATATTAAGGATGATTCAATCACTTGATCTTACTCTTGAGGACAAGAGTAATTTCCAGGGAAAGGGATGTTACGGACTTGTTATTTTATTATTTTATTTTATGAATTGTTGGTTTATTTAGTTAGTGGATATATTCTACTACTAGGTAGTTACTCAATAAGTGCTAGGAATGGGTAGTTTGTTTTAGTTCAATATGTTTAGTTGTTGTAATGAGTAGTTATTATTTTTAAATTGTGTTTTTGTCTATTTAAATTCTCATCATATGGAATAAAGAATTTATTAGATGAATTATTTGAAAAAGCACTGTGTGCAAGAGTTCAAGCTTCCTCAATAAAGCTATCCTTCAATGTATATAACAACTATGTTTGCTGAATATACTTTATTTAAGAAAGCAAGTGAGTATATGCTTGCTGCTAATTATAACACACACGTCCCTTTTGATGTAGGTGGTTTCTCCTTATTCTTTTTTCCCCTTTTATCGAAAAGCTAAAATTAAAAGTAGTATTACATAATTAACAATAAAACATAGACACGAGAAAACAAATATTATTTCATATTTTATTTTAGTTCGAGAGCATATTTGGCCCAAATCCTCTTTTTTATTTATTAAGAAATAATATAATATAAAATAATAATTTATATGTCACTTAAAATATTAAGTTTTTAAATTGAATTAATTTTTAAAACAATATTTGTTCTGGGTATATATCCGAACAGATCAACCCGCTCTAAGTCCAACGGTCTAAGCCTACTTGGGAGATTTGCAGACCCCTCCACCTGGGTAGGGAATATTTGGCTTAGACCGTAACCCACGAACCTGGAAGGTGGGGCTGCATCCACGTTCCTCTTCTACTCTTTCAAACTATGATCCTCTTCTGCTTGGTGATACCTACGACCATCCACTAACTGTATACTAAGGCCACGATCACCATGATAGCTCTATCCCAAGGCTTGTATAAATATATCAACAGTAGCTAGGGACAGGGATTTCAATCATATTGAATCCAACCATGCATGCTAAGCCAATTATGATCATTACCATACATTTTGCCTTACGACGTCGATACCAGCCCAGACCCTTATCTAACCTTAGAGCATCCTCCATACACCCATATTATCACCCTAGCATTGTTATTGGTGTTCTCTCTAAACAATTGGCATCGTCTGTGGGAATCGTAAAGTTCTAATCCCACATCTTATCATGGCAAGTAACGACAATCACTAGGATATACTAGAGAAATGATGATTCTACGCTTCTAGTCCGATGCTAGGAGTCGTTCCCTCAATACTATTGAACATACATTACTCCAGTTGGTGGAGGAACAACAAGCTTTTTTCTAAGAGTATAAGAGAGATGGAAGACGAAGGAGGCCTCGTTCAGAAGAAAGGCCCTATTGTTCAAACACACCCCAGAGAAACCCTCATACTCGAGATTCACAGTCTCTCGCACTAAGCTACATCCCTTGTCTTTACCCTAGAGGCAAAAAGAAGCACGTAATAAGGACTTAGGGAGTCACCGACACCATTCTCGAGAGTCTAGAAGCCTGCTTGGATGACAAAGTACCTGAAACATGGAAGATCATGAGGCTCACAGAAGGGACTAGAGACGTGAGCATAATCAAGGGGGCTATATAGAATATATCCGGGGTCCGCAATGGACAATGTACGAGGAAGACGGACGAAGGAATGATTGGAGGATGGGAGGACCCCATGAGCACAGATACCATCACACCTGCAACTCGGAAAGCTAATATTTCTGAGGAGTTCACCACATTGATGAGCCACCTAGCCCATTCCAAGAAGAAAGACAATTTCATGAAGGTCAGCAGCAAAACCAGGGATTCCCGGGGAGGTTATCGAGGTTTAAAGTAGCGTTATGGATTCCATATAGTTCGTCATGGCCATGAGCAGCTAAGAGGGTTCCCCGGAGGAGCACAACCAGGGAACCAACAGATGATTATGTCACCATGGGTTCCATACTCATATACGCAGTTTTCGCCATATTTGTCGGCTGGACCCAACGTATTTGGACCATCTGGAACTCCCCTTACTTGGTAGTTGAGGGCGAAACCAATTCCCGCTTGGTTTCGGTAATCGAATGATCTGAAAGCATTT